TGTGTATGTATACCTATGTCTGTACTTATGTATGTATGTACGTCCAGTAAGTGTGTATGTATGTAAACGTGTATTTATTTTTATGTAAGTTCTATGAATGTACTTATGTATGTATGTACGTATGCATGTATGTATATGTACATATATATACATGTATGTATATGTACATATATATGCATGTATGTATGTGTGTATATGTATTCATATGTATACAAATATGTATATTCACATATACGTATGTATGAGCACATTTATGCACATTTACTGTATATCAAATATCACAAGATCACAATGAAACCAAACTAACCAGAAAACAAAGGAAAAAAGAGAAAGAAAAAATACCAAAACGCCACTGAAACTTTACCAAGAAAAAAACTTACCAGTTTCCACCGCCGCCAGCATGAGCGTCAGAAGAGAGCGAAGATTCCCCGTCAGTTTCTCTCGGTCTCGAAGCGGGGAGAGGCCCGTTGGGAGAACTTTGCGTGGCGCGTGAGGGCGTGTGAGGCCGAGAGGAGCAGTGGACGAGAGCAGGAGTGTGAGTCACCTCCATGTTCTGAGTAAATGGGGATGAGTTTGTGGCTTCGAGTGTTTGATTAATGGCTGATTTGTGTGTCACTTCGGTATCGTGAGTAAAAGTGGGTGAGTGGGTGAGTTCGGGTCTTGGATTGATGGTAGGGTTATGAGTCACCTCGACATCGTGAGTAAAGGAGGATGAGTTTGTTCGGAGTTCGGAGTGAGTGAAGACAGGCGAGCCGTTCCCCAGACCGCGCCCGCCGCCGAGGGAAGCGAGATTGTCGTGGCTCGAGGCCGAGAGGGTGGCCGCAGGAGGGGGCATGCCATACCCCACAAGACTGCGGCTGGAGGGATACACGGACGAGACGGCAGCACTTTGAGCAAGAGACGAGGGCTGGGAGTTGGAGGTGGGCGTGTGGGCGGAGCTCGAATGAGGCTCGTCGGCGGGCGTGGGGGTCGGCGTGGCTTGGCTGTCTCTGGGGGCGTCTGGGTTCCTCGCGTCCGGCCGCTGGACGCCCACCAGCCACCACGTCATCATCTGGCCCTTGCCCTGCACGCCGCGGGGACATCGTGGTTATTATTGCTATTATTATTATTATCATTATTATTACTATTATTATTATTATTATTATTATTATTATTATTATTATTATTATTATTATTATCATTATTATTATTATTATCCTTAATAATAATAATATTATGATAATATTATTATTATTACCGTTATTATTATTACAATTATTATCATTATCATTATCTTTATCATTATTACCATCATTTTTATTATTATTATTATTATCATTATTATTATTATCATTGTTATTTTCATTATCATTATTATTTTCATTATTACGATTTCTGTTATTGTTATTATTGTTATTATTATTATCACTATTATTATTACGATCATTAAAAATATTATAGTTATCATTAGTATTATTATTACTAATATTATTATTATTATTACCATTATCATCATCCTCATTATCATCATCATCATCCTTATTAGTATCATCTTTATGCTCATTACCATCATCACCTCCCCCCTCCCCCCATGACCACCCACCACCCCCCCAACCAGCAGATAGACAATGCTATCCCACCCACCTTGACGTAAGTGAGTCCGCGCTTCTCGACTAGATATCCGCCAATCTTCTCCAGCATCAGTTTATTGGCGTCAGAAATGTGAATCCTCAGTTGCTCTCCCGTAGACTCCATTCGCGACGCCGTGTTCACTGTGTCGCCGAAGAGGCAGTATCTTGGCATTGTGAGGCCGACGACGCCTGCCACACAGGGTCCTGTTTTGGGTGTGTAAGAGAGAGGGGGGTGAGGTGATTTTTGAAGGGAAGTGGGGGGGGGGGTGGGTGATTTTGAAGGGATGGTGTGTGTGTGTGTGGGGGGGGTGAGGTGATTTCTGAAGGGATGGTGTGGGGGGGGTGAGGTGACGTTTGAAGGGATGGTGGGGGGGTGAGGTGACGTTTGAAGGGATGGTGGGGGGGGGTGAGGTGATTTTTAAAGGGATGGTGTGGGGGGTGAGGTGATTTTTGAAGGATGGTGTGGGGGGTGAGTGATTTTTTGAAGGGATGGTTGGGGGGTGAGGTGATTTTTGAAGGATGGTGTGGGGGGTGAGGTGATTTTTGAAGGGATGGTTGGGGGGTGAGGTGACGTTTGAAGGGATGGTTGGGGGGTGAGGTGATTTTTGAAGGGATGGTGTGGGGGGTGAGGTGATTTTTGAAGGGATGGTTGGGGGGTGAGGTGATTTTTAAAGGGATGGTGGGGGGGTGAGGTGACGTTTGAAGGGATGGTTGGGGGGTGAGGTGATTTTTGAAGGGATGGTTGGGGGGTGAGGTGATTTTTGAAGGATGGTGTGGGGGGTGAGGTGATTTTTGAAGGGATGGTTGGGGGGTGAGGTGATTTTTAAAGGGATGGTGTGGGGGGTGAGGTGATTTTTAAAGGGATGGTGGGGGGGTGAGGTGATTTTTGAAGGGATGGTTGGGGGGTGAGGTGATTTTTGAAGGGATGGTTGGGGGGTGAGGTGATTTTTGAGGGATGGTGTGGGGGGTGAGGTGATTTTTGAAGGGATGGTTGGGGGGTGAGGTGATTTTTGAAGGGATGGTTGGGGGGTGAGGTGATTTTTGAAGGATGGTGTGGGGGGTGAGGTGATTTTTAAAGGGATGGTGTGGGGGGTGAGGTGATTTTTAAAGGGATGGTGGGGGGGTGAGGTGATTTTTGAAGGATGGTGTGGGGGGTGAGGTGATTTTTGAGGGATGGTGTGGGGGGTGAGGTGATTTCTGAAGGGATGGTGTGGGGGGTGAGGTGATTTTTGAAGGATGGTGTGGGGGGTGAGGTGATTTCTGAAGGGATGGTGTGGTTGGGGTGTGTAAAGAGAGGGGGTTGAGGTGATTTTGAAGGGATGGGGGGGGGGGGGTGAGGTGATTTTTGAAGGATTGTGTGGGGGGGGTGAGGTGATTTTTGAAGGGATGGTGTGGGGGGGGGTGAGGTGATTTTTGAAGGGATGGTGTGGTGTGGGGGGGGAGGTGATTTTTGAGGGGATGGTGTGGGGGGGGAGGTGACGTTTGAAGGGATGGTTGGGGGGGTGAGGTGATTTTTAAAGGGATGGTGTGGGGGGTGAGGTGATTTTTGAAGGGATGGGGAGGGTGAGGTGATTTTTGAAGGGATGGGGGGGGGGGTGAGGTGATTTTTGAAGGGATGGTGGGGGGGGGGTGAGGTGATTTTTGAAGGGATGGTGGGGGGGGGTGAGGTGATTTTTGAAGGGATGGGGGGGTGAGGTGATTTTTGAAGGGATGGTGGGGGGGGTGAGGTGACGTTTGAAGGGATGGTTGGGGGGGTGAGGTGATTTTTAAAGGGATGGTGTGGGGGGTGAGGTGATTTTTGAGGGGATGGTGGGGGGGGGGAGGTGATTTTTGAAGGGAAGGTGGGGAAGTGAGGTGACACTTGAAGAGAAGGTATGCTGGTGATGTGATATTTGAAGGGATGGAGGGAATGTGGTGGTGTGAGATGACTTTTGAAGGGAACGTAAGTTGAGGTGACTTTTGAAAGGACCTTTGGAGGGAAGCTGGGTGAATTGATAAAGATTTTTGAATGGATGGTGGGCTGGCGATATGATTTTTGAAGGGAAGGTGGTGAGGCGAAGTGATTTTCAATTCTTGGTAAGTTGAAGTGACCTGACGGAAAGGTGGTTAAGTGAAATGACGTTAAAAGGACAGATGGAAGATGGGATGACCAATGATAGAAAACGGAGGGATAAAATTACTAGAATAATGAATAATGAAATGACTAAAGCAAGCACAGAGATAGAGAGACAAGAAATGAGTCATGGAAAAGGAGGAGACAATGACTGACTGTGAGCAAAAAAAAAAAAAAAAAAAAAAGGAAGTGATCTGGAAATAAGTAAGTTTGTTACGGACTGAGAAAGCAAGAAAGAAAGCAAGAAGCAAGATGCTGAAGTAGGGTTGTCATCTCTTCTTGATAAACCCCGAGTTTCTACCCAAAAAAAGTTGCAAAAAGTCGCTAAATGAGATAAAAAAGGGAAACATTATAGCTAGCAAAACTCGCTAAACTAACATTCTGACCCATTTTATAAAATTCCCGGATAAGGCGCTAAAAAGCCAACACATGTAAAGGGAAACAGAAGCAAAAATCAAGGACGAACCACCAAAGCCATCGCCAGAATCGCTAAATTGGCAATGCTGCAGAGGGATAACTGAGCTAAAAGAATTATCTACGCAACATTGCAGAAAATACAGTAAAATATATAAATCCACGTTAAATTTAACTAAATCAATAGGTATTATCAGCCTGATTGAATAACTAAACAATAATTCGTAGAGTAAGAAAGAAGAAAAAATACTGAGGTAAAGAAAAATAACGAAAAAAAAGACAGCAGAAAAGTGGTAGCATATTTACGAAAAAAAGACGCAATGAACTCTTCACTGAATTTAATTACCGTCATTATCATCAAACGTGAACACATTGTTTTCTATATCAACATCAACGTCTGTATTCATCAATGTCTACTATCGCTCTTCATTACCATATATGCTAATAAGACACAAAAAGACATTCTCGGTCCGAAAAAAATGGATATACAAACAAGCAAATGAATAAAGAGATGAGTAAATGAATAATCACCTAATCAATGTTATTTATTAAAATGGAGAACGTAAGTCAATGATCAGCTAATGATCTAAATGCTTACTAAATTACTATTAGTATTAGGAATGGCAATAGAACTTAATTAACATATAGACTCCCAGAAAATGAATGCAAACACCATAAAAATAAACCGCTATGTACAAAAGTCATGCGAATAGATACCACTCACAGACGCTCCTTAGTTAATCCAACATCCATATCTAAATTAATCCGGCTGAATAGAACACTTCTGCATTATCACTGATCAACCATTGCACTAAATTAATTCACTACCTTTATTAGAATCAAATCAGCTCAATAGAAATGAA